AACGTTTATTCTGGAATTCTGGACACAAGGTGATACACCAGGACAAGACAAGAAACAACTGGGCTTAATTAACTTACATTTAATGAACATAAAACCTAGACACCACACTCTGTAACAGCTCTGTCTCGAACACTGATCAAATCCCTTGGACTGTGGTGTAACGGTCCTTCCCCTTCTGTGCCACTTGGACTTCTGCTATTGCAATGATGCCTCAGGCTGGACAAGATGTTTTCCCAGGCCTGCTGTACCCAGGGAAGGGGCCGGTTCACCCAAGGCTACACCAAGAGCAGCTCTTGTCATAAAAAGGGCTTTATCCAGTCACGCCCCTCCTGACGCCTGGGGGTGGGGGGAAGTTGTTTTCAATAAATTATTTGGGAAAAAGCATATATTATCTCAGATGCTTAATTTCTGTACTAATTGGAAAAATATATATAGGCTGGGGCTGATATAAAGACTTCTTACAACTGCATACAAGACACAAGAACATTATCTGGATAGTACAAGACTAAAATTTAAAAAGACCACAAGCATGAACACAAGTTAAAAACATTATTGCAAGTCCAATTCCCCTTTCCTGTTCCCATCCCCTTTTGGTTACTATGTGTAAAACAGCTGATGAAAGCTCAGTTTCTTCAGAGTCAGCACAGAAGGAATATGGATGCTTTTATATGCATTTGGAGACATTCTTGGAAGAAACTGAGGTGTTGGCAGGAGTTAAGGGAAGTCAGCAGTCTACCTGCCTGTATAAGCTTGAAACAACCCTAAGCCACATGCTGCTTGACCCATCTATTCTCAAAATCCTGGTGCCAATCTACCAACAGTTTCTTTACACTGTATGCTTGCAACACCCTCTTCTGCAACTGCAAATCCCAGTTTGGTAACCATCATCGAAAACAACAGATAAGCGCCATAAAAAAAAAAAAGTGACTACCCAACATAAGCATATTTTTAAAACTCCCCTCTCTAATTTCTTCCCCTCTGGCATTAAGCAGGCACATAGTAAAACAAACAAAATATCCAACTGAAAATAGATTTTCTGTCTAGGTAGCTATTAAGAAGACTGAATGATGAAAAAGCCCAAACCTCTGTCACAAAGAGAGGCTGTTCTAAGTGAACAGTCCTCAAAAAGGCAGTGCTACAGAGTGAAAGGGGGGAAAGTAAAAATGGGATGAATCTGGGGAGAGGCCACAAAATAAACTTCCAAAACCTAGAGTAAAACCCAGGATGAAAAGCATCAGTATCAAAGCTAGGTTGTTCTTGAATTTGCATGTACCCTATAAAAGGCCTGATCAACATACTTTGCTACTTTTAGAAAACCTATACTGATTAACTCACTGTGCATCCTGAGCAACACAGATACCTTCAAATGTCTGTTGGATCTGGCAGAACTAATGCCCTCCTGACCTGCAGAAAAAAAAAGAACAGTCTGAAGTGGATTTGTTTTGAACCATATGTTGTTCTGTGCGTATTAAAAAATCCAGCCAAACAAACAAAAACTCCCAAACCTTTCTGTGGCACAGCGACTGACACTTTAAGGGACTTTTCACACCGCTGACAACATCTGGTTTCTTCAGAGGCTGCTCTGGATGCAAAATAGATATGCAGTGAAATAAAAGTTACTTTGCACCATAAAGTTGCCATTATTTGTTAACACCTAGCTCTACTACTTTTTCTTTTTTTATTTATTTAGCATAACTTGCTGCACACTCAACTGCAGATACCTGATGCAGTTTATTCAGGTCTTGTACTGCAATTATTCCTCAACTAGCTACAAGTTGCAGTGGATATCTGAATGCTGCCCCAATTCTAAAAGGAATCAAGTAACATTGAACAATACACCACAAAGAATTCACAGTTCTCGTTGATATCAGTAATTTTTATTAGAAAGAATAACAAAGTGCTTTCCATAGGATTCATTTAATACAGATTAAGAAATACGATTTTTCCTTTTTATATGGACAATTTCGATGTGATGATTTTTCAGTGCAAACAGGGTTCTCCATGATTCTCCTACATGTAGTTTCTTCTCTGTACACAGTAGTTCAAACATTTATGCATTTGGTGGGTGTGAAACAGTCAGTACTGATGAGTCCATCCTTTAAATAACAGAGGTTATGTAAAAAGATTTCAATATATTACACTGACCAACAGGAATTACATCATTTGTTGTGTAACACAGATTTAAGGGACATAATTCCTTCATACAGTCTTACACACAGATGAACAAAGGTGCTTTCAGTTCTATCAAGAATAACAATCATATATACTAATATAAATAACATTATCAGTTTTTACCATATAGACAACAGTGTCCTTTTTTTAAAAAAGTTAACCTTCTGCTTTTTAGCTAGGGACATCCTTTGAATGCTTGGTACTTCCTCTGTCTTGAAACTACATCTGGATGGAAGAAAGAACACAATGCGAGGTCTGTTTACCCATTTTCCTCCTCACTTTTGGCACAGGTTTCTGATCAGATTTCTTCTGACACATGTATGCATCATTTCACTGCACTCCATTTTCCTCTCTATGTCTGATTCTATGCTTGTCCCCTTTTTTACCTTAACTCCTCTTTCCTTTCCTGCAAGTAACAGGGAGACAGTACAGCAATAGCACAAAATTAGGGCAGATCATTCAGTGCAAATTCTTATACACAATGGAATGTATGAAACTCAACAGGCAAGGGGTATCTTCCATGCAATAGCTGTTTTGTTCTTTTTTTTTTTCATTTTCAGTCAACCTAACTCCATTAGGACATCTATGTTTTCAGGTCTTTAAAGATTAAAAACTTTTATGAAGGACAAGATATAGTAAGTTACCCCTAAGAGAAATCATATAAAACATTCACAGTACACAATCTTAGTCCAAAAGCTACTTTTCCCTAGAGTACATGTATACAAACATGAACATTGAAAGAACAACAGAAATAACTTTGAGTGAAACAGTCATAGTTATGCACATACTAAAAGGTTACATGCATATAAAGTGTCCTCACTGAACCTGTCAGTCACACCCGTGGTTCATTGTTCCCTGTTCCTTACGTACAGAGCAAAATCACCACTTCAAGGGAATACTACATGCCATCACACAGCACAGGGTCTTTACACAATAGTACTACTGCAACAAGGATATCAGAGACACTTCTTCCTACAGGACCAAAGGAACCAGATGAGATCCTCTGAACAGTAACTTGATGGTGGGAAGAATAGATTTTATTTTTTTTTATAAAATAACAAGATGCTTTTGTAGTACAGCCCTTACACAGGAAATTAATACCCATAAACCCACCATTATATCTCTACAAATATGCAACAGTGTAAACAGTTGTTCTGCTTTCTAAGGGACTTGAAACAAACCTAAATTTTCCCCCTAGGCACTTGTGAGTACAGAGCTCCTGCCTCTGAGTTCACCTCGTACTTGCTGTTTGCTTTGGGACTTCCAGGTGTGAATAACCTCTGTATCCAGGAACACCATCTGTTGTCAAACATTTCCTTGCCACCAGTGTAACTATTTAACTAGGTGCCAGCCAACACAGGTTGCCATCTAAACACACAGCCCGTCCTCAGTCCCACCCCTCTGCAGTCCTGATGGTTCAGCAGAGCCTCTTGGATCCAGTCGAGGTCATCTGAAGATCTGGAGAGGAGACCTGGCTCCTCAGAAGGTAACTACGCATTCAGTTATGAAAGCATAGTGACATGTCTACAGATGTCATTTAGGCACATAAAGACTTTAAGGAGCTGGGCCTTCATGTTCACTGCCCTAAATAATTGTTATTTCACTAATCGGAAAGTCTGTAAGGACTGGGTCCAAGGGTCCTGGAAACAGAACCCAGCAACGAACATGATCCACGGAGGCACAAAATAAGCCTTGAGAATCCAGCTGCAGGACTGGGATCATGGACAAGCTCCCCTTAACTTCAGAAGTCTCCGGATAAGACAGCATTTTTAACTAATCTATTGTTGATCTCTACTAGTATAAAAAAGTCTAGGAAAAAAAGTCACTGCAAAAGTTAAAGTAGTTGTCTGTAAATTTCACTCTTCTATTACATTTCTTTAAGTAAACATATAATTTCACTCTACTATACATGAAGTCAATTTTGCTATTAAGTTTCTTACTAAAAGTAATGTGTAACAAATATTAAATTGGTAGGCTATTTACTAAAGACTCCATCCCATTTTACTGTTTTTCTTTAAATGAGAACATTCATCTTGGAAATACTGAATACACCCCTGGTGTTGCTCCTGGGGAGCCAGAGTGAATTTTGCACCTACTCTTGAATGTATATACCCTATTCTCCAATTTGTGCTGCCCATGACATGCATCTATAGATATGTATTTTTGTTGCCTAGCATGGAAATGAATCAGTTAAGACTACTAAATAGAAGTACCACCTCATTTCAACTACGTTCTTGCCCTGCACGAGGAAACAGGTTTGATTTGCTTATGTATGCAAAGCTTCCAGCTCGTGTTGGGTCCACACTGCAGCAAATTAGGGAAGTGTTGAGATCTGATCTGGTATCTATCTGGTTGTTCAGACACTTCACACAAGACCCAGAGGAAGCAGACCATATTCTAGCATTGCCATCCAAAATGGTAACTCTCCAACACTGCAGCTGTAACTACTTATAAAGTCCATTAATTATCCAAACATTTATCTTCAGAAGGAGGGCTGGGGGAAAGAGCAAGTATAAAGAAAAAAGAAAGAATAATAGCAGCAGGAACCAAGTACATTTCCAAAACCAAGGTAGATACATTACACCATTTGGCCATTATAGGACTGTGATTCCTCCTAAACAACAGCTGAAGCCTTGTGTGAAGTCACTAATATTAGTATAAAAGCATTTTGCTGGCACAGCTTGTTTCCTGGGGAAAAGCTTGCTATAAACTACCAAAGATGCTTTTGCATCAAGATTTTGCATCAATTTTTGCGTCAAGAAGTTGTATTCACCTTATGAATGCTTGTCATTGTAGATTTGTTAGAAAAAAAAAAAAAAAAAAAAAAAAAAAAAAGGCAAATTATGCAGATTCAGGGAACAAACACCACACAGGCCCCCCTCCCCCCCGCAATGAAACAAGACACTCACATCAAGTGTCCTCTTAAAACCAGACAGAAACTTTTCACTATACAAAGCAAGAACATAGGGGGAGAGTGAGGGAACAAAAAGCCAATCCTTGGACTAAGGCCCCAAGAGTGCAGAAAACAGCACATTGGTCACTATTATATTACAAACATCTCCTTTTTTGCCCTTCAAAGATGTAGTAGAGCACTGCTGACTTTGCTTAAAATGTATAATTTTTGTCCCCTCACCCCAAAATGTTGGAAGTTCAGCAAAATGTAATTTGAAGCATTGCAGCGTTTGATATGCCACCCATTTACTTAAACACATAAATCCACTGACACGGTGACAGTGTTGAAACACATCATCTGAACAGCATCTATAAAATTCTACTGTTGTACATAAATAATGACAAGGCACAGAACAGCAACCAGTCCAAGAGCTTGTAGGCCAAGAAACCAGAGCATAACCCAGAAGAATATAATTATTACAGGTTCTACTATCCGCTCTCCAAAGTACATCCTTGTGAAGCCTATTCTGATAAGGCTTTTGTTCAGTTCGCCAAAGAGAGTCCCCATCTTTTTATAGTCATCTACTACAGGTTCTGTGGTGTGGTTTCTTTGTTCTTGCTGGACCTGAGGACAGAACACAAAGGTAGAAAATAAGTTGTATGAACATTTCTTACTACTGTGATTCTGGACAAGACTCAGCTGTTTCTGTTTGAATGTGTAAAAATAAGATGTACATGCAATAAAGCTACTCCTAAATAGCTTGTGACTTCAGTACAATGTTACTGATGACACATGTGTCCAAACTTGAGACATCTGAAGTGATACCACAAACATATGATGGTCTGTCTCCCCTCCAGATGCCACTCTAGAGGGGTAAAGCTCTCCTGTAGTTCACACATCTTACCTGTCAGTGCAAAGTGGATGTCAGGTCAACCAAAATAGAATTAGATGCCTGTAATTTCAAGAAGGGGATTTGACTGAAGTAGATTTGGTATAAATTATTTCCAGAATATCTTCAGAACCACAAGAAGAATACAAAACTATTAAGCATGAACTATAAAGTATTTTGCACCAAAGCCCAGAGAACTGAAGAGCTACTACCACCACTGAAGCACCCTGGATTTGACCAGGAAGAAGGCAAACATCCATCCCAATGTTGGCATAGAAAGCTGTGAAAGTCAGGCAAAGGAAGACAAGCCCAAGGACCACACAAATGCAAGGTGGTGGTACAAAGGAGGAGTGGAAACAAGTTCTGTGCTTTCCCAAAAAAAGACAAATGATGGGGCAAATGCATAGGAAGTCACAAGCACATCTTTAGATGAAGATGACATGTTTAATCATCACTGCAGAAAACATGCAACAGCTTCAGCATGTGAACTGTAACTGGATGAGATCCTGAAATCCCATCTCTGCTTCCCAGTGCCCAGAGACCCTTTGCATGAAGCCTTATTACCTTATGTTTGGGTATGACAGGGCAAACACAATTTCAAGATGATGAACATGAGTTTCCTAATCCTTCCATTAGGCAGCAGTGAAAACACATGCAGCAGGTATTCTTCAGATCAATAGGTCCAACAAATTGCCTGCAAATTCTATGTGCAATAAGTCTACACCTGGATTCAAAGCAAACACTATCTTTAGTTCTGCCTTGAAAAATGAAAGCTGTTCTGAGTCCCTAGTTACACACCGTGGTCTCAGTGCAGAAACAGAAATTCCTGCCCACAGCAGTGCCAGGTTCTCCATTAGAGAGCAAGTAATAAAGTGAATTCCCCATTCCTACAGAAAAACATTCGAAGACCAAAGGAAGCTAATATTTTTTTTTCTCTAGGCCAGACTTTAGGCCACAATGCAGAACCTTCTGATGGAATGAAGGTTGGGTAAAGCACCACAGCAGCTACTGAATAAAAACTCCAACAAGATTTCTACAGTCCCTGTTTTGCCAATTATTAGGCCTAGCATAAAGGACACAGCCAGCATAAAGATCAACCAATAACCAAATTGTATTTGATACAAAAGGGTCAGTACACGGGTGAGCGCTGGGGATACAAACAAGTCAGATTATACATAACTGACATCAGTCCCACTGACCCCAACACCACCACACGACCAACAGTGGGTGGAATAAATGGTGAAATGCAGTTTCCCATAGAAGGGACAGGAGACAACCGAGTCAACAAACCAAATACATAAGACCAAGGAAGCCACATACTGAATCTCTACACAGCCCGCATTTACAAAAGCCAGACCTGACTGGAGCCCAGTCCCAGGGAGGCAGGAGGTCCTTCCCCAACAGGGAACTCTGCAAAGTGCATCCACCTCACAGACAGACACTGCCCCTGCCTGCAAGTGGTCCCAGCTTTTATCCCTCAGTGGGACACCTGACCTTTGCTTACTGAATGTGGGACACCTGGGGCTCCTTTACCCAAGGGCTCTCCCTGCAAGGCCGGTCCCACCCTGGAGGGAAGCCTAAAGGCAAACTCACCCCCCCTTTGTGAAGGGCTGTGGGAATCACCCATATGTTAATTTGGGGCTTAGGGTTGAAACCCCAGCATTTCAGTCACTCAGCTGTGTGTGCTTGTGTATTTTTTTTATTTGCTTATTCATACAGATTTCAGTTTAAGCTTCAGTACTGATTTCCAGAAAGGGAGGGGTGCAGGAAGCCTAAACAGTAATGAATATTGAGTTCAGTTTTTCTGCAGTTCTACAGAAGAGCCTGAACATGGAAAACTGCAGTACTGGAGGTTACGTACTGACTTGTCTCTTTCCAGCCCACTTCTCAGGCCCGGGTTGTTTTCTCCCCCTCACTGGATATGGAAACTCCAGTTTTCAGCATTTTGGCTTTAACTGTGCTTTATTTAATTCGAATAAATGTTGACTCTTCGTTAATTCCAGTATTTCAGAAGTAGTCTCTTCGAGAAAGGCAGAGCCTCTCGTGAGCCCCTGCGGACTCGGCAGCGGACATGCCACCCCGGGGAACACAATGTTATTACAGGAACTCTCATCCCCCCTATTCCCAAAGAGCACAGGGAGACAAGCAAGCTATTAACCTAAGTGGTATTTTGATCACAACAATTAGGGAAAAGAGAAACCATGTGCTGGGAGGGGAAAATACATTTATTTGCTTCCTGCATGCAGAGACCACAGGGAGCATCCGCCTACGGGATGGTGATGGAGGTGACAACAGCACAGATCATATCAAGAAGCTCAGAGACCACTTCTGAGAGAAACAGTTAACGTGTGCAGGAGAAATCACTACATTTTCTAGCAAAGTACTTAGGCTTTGAGTCAGTGGCCAGTGCAACCAGGAGGGGGAAAACTAAATTAATTACTTCTTTGCCTCTGGATTATGAATGGTACTCAGCAACGTCCTGGAATCCTTTGCAGAGAGGAGCAAGACTATCTTATCTCATCCTCTCCTCAAACAAGGGTAGATGCATGAATCCCTAAAGAGATTACACAAAGCAAGCTTCTAGACACAGAGACTGACAAGCATGTGTTTAACTACAAAACAAGTGTCAAGTATTTTTCCAAATATTTTCAAGAGCTTACAAAACCTTTCAGAACCATCATGGAAATTCTCAAGATTTCAAAGTCTGCTTCAGTTAATTCAGGCTGAGTATGTCTTGCCTCAGGCAACTCAGCAAAAAACAAGTCAAGCTGAAAACAGACGATCATCTGTAAAACTCAGATGGCATATTTTTCTTTACTACTGCAAAGTATTTCACATGCTGGACAAATACGTTTCTTCAGAGGTGTAGCTGAAATCGAGCCATTAGGGCAAACACCAGTGATGTTATCATACCCCAGACTGCTAAAAAAATATTAAATAAGCTTTAACATTGCAACCAGAAATTCTCTCACTAATTCAGGGCAATAGTAAACCAGCAAACAGTCCCGCACATGTGCCAGTAGCTCTGACACCACATCCTTAGAAGCAAATACCCTTTTTCCCCCTAAAAACACTTTCTAAACTTTTTATAAATTGGCTGTCTTCAGCAAGCACACAGTTCCAGCTGATTCTTAACTTCCACAGGACTATTCTCATATGAAACATCACTGAATCAGCCTGAAGCTAGACAGACACTAGCATAACAGAAAAACGCGACAAGGGAGATGTACCTATTCTGAGCAGCTCCCCTCCTCACCAAACTAGAGCTTCCTCATTTAAAAGTGCAAGAAGTTCATTCCAAAGTTGCTAGTTTTAAAAATCAACCCAGCTTTGGCTTTATAATTTTAAGAATTTTTTGTGTATCAAGAGGAGTGTAGGGAGTTTCTTTACTAGCACTAGCCCCAGAGAAAGCATGCTTTCAAGGCCTTTACAGCAGCTCTTCTCCTCATAGATAACACGTGCTATGCAGGGGGCACACCCAGACTTCATTTTATCACAGAATCCTAGAATGGTTTGGGGTTGGAAGAGGCCTTAAAGACCATCTAGTTCCACGCCCTCTGCCATGGGCAGGGACACCTTCCACTAGACCAGGCTGCTCGAAGCCCCGTTCAACCTGGCCCTGAACACTGCCAGGGAGGGGGCAGCCACAGCTGCTGTTTCTTCAGAGGAGATGAACTCCATTGTCCTGATAGTTTTTGTGACCCTCCTCTGAACCTGCTGCAACAGGTCCACATTTTTCTGCTGCTAAGCGCTCTAGACCTGGACCCAGTAGTCCCTATTTAGTTTCTATTTTTGACTTTACATTATTTAAAATTAGAGTTATATGAACAGAAGGAAGTGTTTGATGTGTCTTGTTGCTTAGCACATGTGCACAATGTTCTTCATGAGCCTACTGCAGTAACCTGAAGGTTCCCATCAAGCACACAGTTTTCCCTTGTCTCTTTAGATGTATGGCATTATACAATTTCTCTTCCCATTCAATATGTCATATTTTCATCAGCTGTTGTCTGCTGCATCACACAGTTTACTGTCAGAAGTCAGAACTTGAAGATTCAAACTCTGAAACACTTTACTATGGAAACTATGTAACCAAATTTACCCAGCCTGTTACAGACAAACGGCTTAGGGGCTTGGATGCTTTAGGAGGAACGCTGATGTGCGCTCTCAGGTGCAGGATTCCATAGAAGTACCTTTTTTCAGAATGAATGTCCCCAAGGAGGTTGCAAAGGAGACACTAAACGGAAGTTCTGTCCACTTCCAGCACAGCTGTTGCTTTATATCCCTGAAATGCTTCTGAAAAATTTCCCTTGTAATTGAATGTTTTCCTGGGCTAGCTTTAAAACAACAGAGAAGGTAAAGTCAACTCAGCCTACTGAACCCAACGAACATCCAGCTGTGGCTTCACCAGTTATGTTCATCATCAACATAACACACAAAATTACGTGTGTTCTGACCACTAACTACCCTTGCTTATGGCAAACTTCCACCACATTCACTCAAACTCTGCTGCTTAAATCCAGGAAAGCACATGGTAAGTCATGAGCAGAGGCCACTCCGTACCAGTCTGACAGCAGGAACTTGTTCTTGCTTATCCGCTTCCCATCAATGGTGTTTTGACCATGCAGAGAAACACGAGAACCCATCAGAACATACCGCCTCGCCCAAAGAAACCATCTTTGCAATGCTTCGTATGCTACTCACTGAAAAGGGTAAAGTTAGCACTGAACTTTTCACAATCATTTAAGACTCATCCCTGCCTGTAACCTCCTAAGTCTAAAGTAGCCAGTTCAAGATCTTTTCCCCCTCAGACTGCTGGGAACACGCAGTTCCTGCCCCGACCATTTGGAGATAATACTGAATAACTTTGCCAAGCCCTGGGAGGATGCAGATCACAAACAGGTCCAAATGGGACACAAACCTACCCAACATGCTTTGGAAGTTATTTTCCTGCAGCTAATCAAAGACAGCATGGAAGCACAGATTTAGCATTCATTTTTTCTGCTGTCAGCAATGCTAGGTCACTGAAGGACAGTATCAGTTATGTCCTTGCACAAAGACTAGGTGTCCTTACAAAGTGCTGCCAACAAGCTCTGCCTAGAAACCCCTACAGCTTCTTTTAGGGCCACAGCCACTGCTGCAGCACTCTCCTGTGCCCTGTGCCCACACTCAGGGCACCCCACACTTGGTGGATGTGACAGATTTGCCGGCCATGCACAGATCACATGTGACAAACTACTGCAACATCTGTGGGCAGGTGAATCCCTGTGTGCTCAGGGTTGCCACCCCTGCCAGAACAACTTGGGCCTCACAGGGTTCATCTCTGGAAAGAAGAAAGTGGTCTTAAAGAAGTGACTAAAGCTGCTCCTGCAGCTACAGCCCGTGCATCCTGGAAGACAGACAGCCCAGCTCCATCCCACATGACTCTGCCACAAGGCTAGCATGATGGGTGAAGTGCTACACGGTCACCAGGAAAGGCAGCAGTGGGCTGGGCGAAATGTCTGGGAGAACCACAAACTGAATGACTCTAAAGTAACTGCAATGATTCTCAGTCCTGTAACTTCACCACTGCACTAGCCACGAGGACAACAATTCTAGTTATGGTCTTGCCTTCTAGGCATTTAATCTGCTGAAGCAGCAGCTTGGTCCAGAGTTTTCCACACTTAGCCTAAGAATCCAGAGATGGTTTGTTTGGTTTGGGACTTTTTTTGCATGTATGGAAGAAAAATCCTAAGTAACTCACTTGAGTGAAATAATTTGATGAAGTTCAACAGCCTTTATTCTGTGGGAGGAGGGAGTGGATGAACATAAGGAACCTGCTCCACCTAAAGATTCAGGTAGTTTAAAAAAAAATAAATCCATTCAACTACTCTGAATATAGAAGATCCTTCAAAACAAACCAAATAACATCCCTCTTTCTATCTTTCATAACTAATGAATTGAAGAAACCCCAACAGTCTTCTGTTGCTCAGGCAACTTGAAAAATTCTCACCCCACAATCAGCTTGACAACACCACCAGGCCAAGTACAAGTCTATTAGCTTCTCTTTTCTTGCATCGACTGTCCAAAAGAGCATTACACAAATGTGAACTCCAGCAATGGAGGAGAAGAGTCCAGTGGATTGGGAAAATTACTGCTCTCCATGTAAAAGTCTGTGGTTTCACAGTTGAAAAATGCTGCTGGCCAAAGGCAGCAAAGGGAATGGAGTAGTAAAAAGGTATCCACAAAGTTCATCTCCAACACAGAAAAGCAGCATTGTCTCCAAATTGTTTGTGACATGCCTCAGATCACAACCAGTCACATTTACAGTTATGAAAGGAAGAAAAAGAGACAACAAATAAGAGAATTATTTACACATTAGATAGAGATGACATCCCTTTTGAGTTTAACAGCAAACACGTGTTTGATGACATCTAAATGAGATGTTAAAAAACGGATAAGAAAACACAGGGATATAATTTACATACTACTCACATATTTTCTTTTTTTTCAAGTAAAAAGTTTCCTCTGCAGTATTTAATTGCTCACTATCTATTTTACTGCAGTCATGGTTATTTTTACTCCAGGGAACAGGTGGTACGTCTGACAGCTGAAGCACATAGACACCTAAATGTCAAAAAAGCCACTGAGATGTGACTTTAAGAACATGCTTACTTACTGAAAAATACTACTGTATTTTTGAAAGCTGGAACATTAACGTTCAGAAGAGACAGCCTCAAAGTTATCTCTTTTTAGAGGATGCAATCTAAAACTGAAAATACTTCAAGCTCAATGTTACAGAAAAACATGAAAAGAAAATGAGCAGATGACAGAGACCAGGATGAAAGAAACCACAAGTTCCCTCCCCTCCAAAATAAGAGAACAACTTCTGCTGGGTGCAGACAGGGACACAGACCAGCCAGCACACAGCTCCCGATATTTGATAGTTAGGTAGCCAGCAGTGTAAGTCCTGGAGGAACGAATTACCCATCTTGCTGGTACTCAGCCATCTGACCGCCCAGTGTATTGACTTGGACAGGCTTTAGAAACTTGCACTCAACAGCAGATTCCCAAGTCATGGCCTCCTCTTTCTCCGAACCACAGCTCTGCCCCATCGCAGGGGCAAAATTCTATGACACACGGGCCAGCTGGGTGCAGGCTTTCCGCCTCCTACTCCTCCATATATGCAAAACTAGGCAGTTTCGTTACTAGTAACACCTAGCATGTGACCAGGATTTCACCCTGCTTTCTCATACTTCAAAAGACTTCTTATATTTAAATAAAAGTGAAATTTGCCCAAGAAAGGCAAATAATTTTATTGAAAATGTTTCTGATTTTCCTCCTCTTCTACTATAGCAGGAAGAAAGCACTCTCCCTTCGCATCCTTTGCTAGGATGAAACTAATGATTAGTATTTGACCTTGTAAATGTAAACAGTAAAAAGATCTTGATACTAAGCCAACAGACTATTAAGACAATTAAATTAATTTCAGCTGTCTGGAGAAAAACCCAAACCAGGTTAATTTCTCTAGGCTAATTTTAATCTCAATTTAAATCTGAAAAGATTTATAGATTAGGAAATGAGAAAAAAAAATCATACCTCACAGATGAGAAACGGAAGAAAAACTAAGTTTAACTTGTTTCTCTGGGGAAAAAAAAAAAAAAGCAAATGCAAGAAAACTAGAAAAATTCTTAATGCCAGAAGTACTTTACAACAGCTACCTATAAAGTGACATACTTAGATGGAGCAAAAATAAAGAAAATGTGAAACAAAGATTGGGTTAACGTTCATTTCACAGCAAGAATCTAGACACCATTTACAAAATAGAAACAAGATGTTTCTATAGAAACAAGCAACAACATAAGAAAAGCAACTGCACCGGATTCCCTTTAGTCAGCTTTTACGGCAACTCAAGTTCAGGATCAACATTTGCTGGAACAAACTTTGAAATACTGGGAGCAGTTCTGTGTTAAGGAGATGAAAAGGCTTTTCCAGTTACTGAACTTTGTGTGCAGAGCAGAGAAGGCTTCAAGAGCAATAGAGGCTTCCCTTGATAAACAGTGTTTGAGCCCCATGATTTCAGGAGTAAATTTCCCCACTAATAGCACCAGATGAGAAAGTGTCACAGACAAGAACCAGCATGGGAGGGTCCGAGGGAGAGGAAACCTGCCTGTCCCCATGTTAAGATCTGATGCCTTTCTCTCCCATTTTAGGCTGCTGTTTACACTCTTCCTTGTCTCTGTAACTTGATCCTGGCCATGCTGCAATTTTACATAGAGACTAGATCAAAAGCAAATTCTGATCCACGTTTTCCTTACACCTGCAACACTTTATTTCCATAGGATTTTGTTTACCAAGGTTCCCCACTAAAACTGGTCAGTTTGGCCCAGCAACAGGCTTGCAATCCACCATACGTTCAGCATGGAATCAATGCACCGGCTTGCTGAAAAGCAACAGCTGTTAATTTTGCCTTTTAAGGAAAAGAGATTTCTATTCGCTTCTATTTCCAGAATACTTTTTTCTTTAAGAAAACTGGATCTTCACTTTATTCAAGCAGAGCACGCTACTGTAGGTGCTACGGGTATGTCTGAAGGGGTTTTTCTGTTTTATTTCAAAAGCTGTGAAGCCTCAGAAAACCCAATAATGCTTTTCAGAAAGTTATTATCATGTATTATTTTGTAGCTATGAACTTCTGCATCAGTTAAATTATTTGTAGAGACAGAACAAATTTGGGATTAAGCCTTCCCTGTCATGTATTACTATTTTCAGTTTTGAAACAAATTTCAACAACTTCAAGCAGGAAAAACCTGTAATTTTCACATTATCTGTGTGGAATAAATTAGAAATAGGTTTCTAGCCTTAGGCACCACAGTTTCCACACATACAAGTTTACTTTAAAACATTCTTGGCCTCTACTGACTTACGACCAAAATGATACCATTCAAGGCAACACAGCGCACATCCATCCTACAGTACAATGAACAATGAAACATTTACATGAGGGATGCTACAAGGGTGTTGAAACTATCCTCTGATTTTGTTTCTGCTCATTCTTTCCACGCTGGAGAAATACTAGTGATATTGGAAACTTATTCAAAAAGTTCAGGACTAGAACTCAGTTAAGACACCTATAACCCTTCAACATAATTGTCAACAGGAGACACCAAAACCCTTCAGCTCCTTTAAATCTGAACCCACCTATTAGAAGATAAAATACTCCACCTACAGAGATAAAACACCGCTTGAAATAACAGTAAAACATCCCAAAGGGTTACAAATTCAGGTTAGTGAAAAGGTGATTGTCTAAGCTAATTTATCTACTTGTGAATACATGTATTACACATTAACTCTGCATTTAGATATTTTCTAGAAGCATGAGCTCTCAGACAGCACTTTGGATTCTATGTATCCTAAAACAGGGTGAGGTGGAGATCCTGGCCTCACTGAAGAAACTGGGAATTTTGACATTGCCTTCAAGTTAGACTAGAGACTAAAACCCATTACTGCCCAGATAGACAATTTTCAGTACAGAAGAGAGCCACAGTGCCACAGCTCTCAGGAACTCTGGTGTAACATAGCTTGGCTTCAAAGTCCCTATGGATGGACTGGGTGTTGTGTCTCCTGCTAACACCACCTCGTGCCCTACTGTAATGCAGGACTTTTGCCTCACCTTTTGTTATTATACACTTGTATTCATTCCACATTTCCATTCTTATTTTGTGGTTTAATTTATAGGTGTCAATGAGATTTAGACTGCAGTAATACGACAAAGGCTAACCTATTTTAGAAAGTGGGTTAGGGAAGGAGATTTTAGATCCTTAACTCTAGAGATACTGAAAATAGAAGACAACTTGTCTGACTAATAACTATCAACAGTTAGGAAAAACTGTGAACTTGAAGGGTGAAGCAGCAACCTACTCCCGTGGCTTCAGAAGCAGCTGCATCTTTCAGTGGCTTCACATACTACTTGTGAACACCAGTAACGCAATATAGCAGAGCTGGAAGTAACTAACCGAGGTTCTGCAGCACTCCTAAGACTTAAGGTTAAATGTAATTATTCTCATCTTTGCATGCAAACCTACAAAGGATATTAATCACATTATCATCCAGTTCAGCTTTTAAATCTGATCACTGAAGTAGGTAATTCTACAGCCTATTACAATAATGAATTCCAAGTAACATAGTCTTCTTTTAAAAATGCACCTGTCAGTAATTTTATTAAGCATGTCCTGGCGGATATAATAATAAGCTTCAACAGAAAATTAAAGCTAGAGGGTTTGGCATTAAATAGGTTTATTTCCTACAGAGTACTCCCTTTAAAAAAAATAAATTAAAGGGTGTATACATTATTATTTAGCTCCTGCTTGTCAGGAAGGTAGTCTTTTAACATTATGTTACTAGGTATGATCTGACACAAACTAAGTTTATTTCAGAGGAAACAGGAAAAGGCAAATCACACCCAGGTTACCAGCCCCAGACCCTCATCTAAAAAAAAAAAAAAACCTCTCAAAAAAAGGCCAAAGGATTTGCTCTCATACAGGTTTTACTTTACACCAGCTGAGAGAAGTAAGAATTTGCACCATCGTCAAAGCAGATTTTGACCCATTTCTCTCACATCGCAGGTAACGCCAAGGTGGTGTGCGCATTTATACTTCAGGAGAACCATTGAAACAGGGAAACACAGGCTGAGGAGCAGCGGTTTCGTTAACAGTGCAAACACTCTTAGCAAACACAGTGACAAAGCTAGGCCTCCACGAGGGGTTCCAGGTGAGGACCCCCCCTGGAAACAGGATTCCTGCCCGCTGGAATGGCAGGGTTCAGCAAGAGCCCCTCCAAGAGAGCAGAAAGGGCAGGGGGAACCGATTATTTTAAGAAGCCTGGACACATTCATGAAAGCAAAAAGGTGACAGCATGTGACTAGGCTTGATGACCAAGGAGCTCCTCCAAATCAAGCTACATGTCTGTGCTTCTCTTAAACAAGAGAATCTGGGACCTTCTGTCAAACTCTGAAGCAACTGTACATACCACTAACTCCTCACCTAGCTTTAGTCTGCCCTACACATAAAAAGAAAATACTGTTTACTTATCAAGCTATGATTATTTTTACCATTATTTTATACTATTCACATTCTCTGTGTATATTAACTAAAGGCAACCGATATTCCTTACTTCCAAATCTATTCTTTGTCCAGCTACTGGCACCTCAGTATACAGAAAAAATACTCTATGCTATGACAGTAAAGTATTTCCAGTAAACAGGAAGGATTTTTCTTTCTTCCTCACGGCCTAATTAAAACTTATGCCTTGCTATCCTAATGTTATGCTCCAACTTGTCAGAAAGGGCCAGGATCACTGCCTGTACCTCAGAAAAGTGGGAAGAGAGTTTCTCCAGCAAATGTGCCTGTGGCCACCCAAGTGGTACCTTTACCAACTTCATTTTAATATGTGTTTAAGCAACACTGGAAAGCAGTTCTTCAGCCTGCACCATCTCCTGAAAACACACCACCACACTCTCCACTAAGAGAGATGCAGTGGTAACCTGCTGGGAGCTCCCTCCTTAGAGAGGAGTTACAACCAGTTCGAGAACAGTGACATCTGAGATGATCTGATGCAATTTTTTAATCGCTCTTTTCAGGGAAGACAGCAGCCAGAACCAGCAAGTATTTCTGACTCTCCTCCTGTGATATCCCGCAGAAGGGCTTGAGGACACAGAGAGGGGAATTGCTGTGCCTCTCTTAGGGCACCTGGCCTTACGCACATTCAGGTACGTGCCCTGCTCTGACCCATTTTTCTAGAGAAAGGGCCAAGGAAGATGCACTGACTTACATAAATGGTCACCGAGTGAATTCTCAAACATCAGCATCCTTCAAAAGTGGCCCACTTCTAGCTGGCACGTCAGGCAAGTGCTACCAGACACTTTCAAATATTAAGCTTTTCCAGATACAAAAGGGCTCACTTACGGCTGAGTGCAGTCACAACCATTTTGTAGGAATTTTCAACAGAAATGATTAACAAATTAAACAACACTGGAAATTACTCCGGGATGTACTCCAGCAGCTCTGTTTGCCCTGTGCAATTATCAGTGCTACTGCATTTCTCTTACTTAACCGCTCAG